AACAGGACAAGAAGGCCAACCCGTATCGTGAGGAGCAGCAAGCAGGAGCTGGAAGAACAAACGGACGAAACCATTGTCAAACAGTGGTTAAAGGATTCTCCCAAAAGTGTACTTGCACTCGTGTTGTTCCAAACCTGTATGACTTTTTGTATCCGAGTTATGAATACAAATTATGACTGAATGTGGTGATATAAAAAAGACCTTTCACGGCATGCTGCACCCAAAACATGCAGTGCGACCAGTGTACTTTGAATTATGAGAAAAACACTCTTTTTTCAGATTCTTAAAGAAATTTTCATTCAAATTATTTTTAAGAGTGGTTCCTTATTGAACTACAAGTTATGATTTTGTTCGACAGATTCCTAAAACAGTAGCATTACTGACACGTTCATAAAACATGTATTACATTTTTGAAATAGTAATAATAATAATAAATTATTAATTTTAACAAAACATTAGGACATTTGATATTAACATATTATGATTTCACAGTTGTAACAAGAGTAACTATAGTATAGTATTAGGCGGAAACAATTATCACTGTACATTTTTAGGGCAGTTACCTGCATGACTAACACACTTCCTCCTTCACGTGACTGCCTGTTTTGAAAGCACATCTGAAAATGCTCTTGAATTATTTATGTAGACTGCATCAAATGCTGCGACAATTATATCACACTGAGCGAAAGAGATGAAGTCTGCACTTTTGGGATGATTGAATGACTGAGACATCTCATGAATACTAAAAACAAGGAATTTTTAAACATGAGCTGTTCTAGCAAATTACAAGTTTACAATGCAGCTGAACATTGTCAGTTAAGCACAACAATTATAACTGCATTTACATATTTATTATTACTTTGTAAGTACTAATATTATGGCACGTATGGTACCAGCGCACTTTTAATTACATGGCATGTTGTAAATCTGCATAAAAACATAATAGGCATTCATAGTTTCTGCTACCTTTCTGAAGTTCTCCGGTGTCTTTCCGGCGTAGTAAAGGCTGGACATGATCTTCAGTTTCTGAGTCTGACGCTGAACGCTCCATCATCTTGAGCGGCTGCTCTCCTGCCGCCTGAGCCTGACCAGAAGCACAATAACAACACACTCCGAAAGCGGAACCCGTGGTTCATCGTCAGCAAAAACACATACCATAATAAAAGTCCCGTGGTCTCCAGATTATATAACAAAAAATAAATAAAATAATAATAATACTACAATAAAATAAACAATATTTGTCCAAATGTTTTAAAGGTCAAAACATGTCAAACAAAGTGAAAGAAAACAGAATATAGAAGATTAAAAATGTTAATACAAAAAAATCCTCAAATATTTATTAATGTTGCCGTTTTATATTAAACTATGATTGTACATGGTTTAATCAAAGACAGACTTGTTTTTTAAAGATCCATTACAAAACAGAGTTTGCTTTTTCTACTTTGTGAGCTTTCTATATTATTGCAACATTTATCCAGTAAGAGGAGCTAAAGTAGTACAGCAGACCATGCTTTAAAGGTGACATATCA